CCCCCCCCCAGGTTCTGAAGGTTCAAACGTCTGGGTTTATTCTACTTCTTTCATCACATGTCCATGTGTGGTACTGGATGGTAAAATAGGATCTGGTTGAGACTGTGGCTGAGATGGTTTGAGGGACACTTTAGGGATCACATAGAAGTTGACCTTGAGCCAATGACTTTATGCAACTTTGCAAAACAAAATAATACAATGATTTATAGAACTAAAGTGACCGTCACAGAAGAGCTATCTCATGAGTTCTGCTTGCCAACTGCTAAGGAAGGGTATTGCAAGTGTTTTTATAAATACATAATTCTGGGCAATTAATCCATGAGATTATAGGATCAGTTGACCTATCTTTCAAACATTCTTTCGCTATTTTTGCTTTTGTACTTGTGTTTTTCTACCACTTAAAGCTTCCTGTTCCCAAAGACAGTGGGAAACAAATACTTACAAAAGTTAGCAGGGAGTTCAGTGTTCAATGAGTAAGGTTTAGAAATGTTTGTTATTGTTTACTCATTGTAAAAAGACCAGTGGACAGCTTTTAGCATGGCTCTTAGTGATAACATTTGATTACATGATCAATAATTGCATAGTAATGGCTTCCCACTGTTTGTTTCCAATGTAGGTAGCTGCTGGTGGTGCCAGAAAGATTATTTCTGGTAAAAAAGAGGAAGAAAGGTGATTATAAGGAAAACCTATTAGAATGTAAACCACTTTAAGAGAAACTCAAAAAATCTCTAGTTCCCTACTTTTTTGCATTGCACTATTACTTGTAACATTCAGAAAAGCTGCTGACTGGCTGCTTTGCTTACTTATCTAAGCATTCATTTAATTCTGTAGATTGAATAAATACATGGTTGCAAAGCATGAGAAAGTGACTTTTATTATTATTATTACAGAAGAGGGAATTAGATTGGAAAAACTAATTCCCCTGAGAAATAACACCTCCAAAATAACCTTGCAATGCAAAAAAAAACCCAAACCAAACCAAACTAAGTGATGATTAACAGAGCTAGCTGACATGCTGTTCTTTAAAAGTTGAAGAGGCACATCAGTTAGAGACAGGATATCAAATATCAGTAGGCAGAGCAGCAGGAAACTATTTCCACTGAATGAAAGGGATAAAAAGAAAAACAAGTCTGGGTTGCGCTAACAGCTGACATACTCGAATTTACAATTGTAATGAATACTAGGGAAAACCTATCTTCTAAAGAAAAATGCTGCTCACCTAGAAACTTAAAGTCCAGAGTAAAATGTAAATCTCGGAATAACATTGAGGCAGTAGATAAACGGATCACAGTGAAACAAACTGCTGCAGTTGCGACCTGCTTGAAAAAGATTTTCTGCTGTACTCTGGGTGAACCTCAGCCTTTAGGGTTGCGGGCAGGGAGGCCCAGCTGACATAGAAATGCAAAATTCCAGTGTGTGAGAGAGATCCAGAGGCATTACTCTGCACCTCCGGTGCTTTGGAGAGAAAGGGATGAAGCCGGAATGAATATTCTTTCTTTTTCACATGTTAAAAGCTTGGTGGATTCAAACAAACGTTGAAAAATTCAAAGAAACGTTGTCAGATCTTCAAGTGTAAAGACTGCAGAGTTGAATCTGTTGCACAAAACAAAATATATTAACGGAAGATGAGAAAGAAACAGAATTTAAGAAAGCTGGTAATGATTAAGAATATGTGTTTGCTTACACTGGTGGGAGGCTTCCCGTTGTTTTTCGAGGTGTTTTGATGAAACTTAACTCTGAATTCCACTTGAACTGGGAGCTCCTAGTAAGACACGATGTTCTGTTAGCAACATTTGCTATCTTTCCTCTTGATTACCCTCCTGCTTGGATTGTGCTTGTTGTCCAAGCCGGCAGGAGCCGGGGAAATAGTTCTCCCCTGGAGTCCTCTGTGCTTCTGTGGTTGTTGATCTCTGCAACTCTATGGAGGGGAAGACAGAGACTTTGGCAAAGTTTGGCCCTTTACCCTTGGTATATTTGCTATCGTTTTATTATATTGTATTTATTTTTCATCATATTATCGTTTTATTTTTCCAAGGGGGATACATAGCTTTATTATCCCTAAACTTGAAGTGTAATTTAATTAATGTTCCAAGCTCTCCCTTAACAAAAATACAAATGAAGCTGACTAATTCAGTCATCTCCCATGCTTAGCAACCGTTGCAAACAGAGAAATCTGTAAAAGATATTTACAGCCTATGATTAAATATCAGGCTGTTCTGAGGCTTTCTTCTCTTATGCCTACTGTACTTCTTTGGCAAGCCCCCTAAAATTCAGTGCCTCAGGAGTAAACAATATCTGTAAGCTAAATAATGAAATAAACAATACTGAAAACAATACTATCTGTAGGACTTTCAACAGCAGACCAAAATGTTGACTTACAGCTTGTAGGTTCAGAGTGGAAATAGGAGTCTGCCCCTCTGAAAGTCAGATTTCCTCCTTCCCTACCCCCTTGACAGCAGGTTGTTTTGCCAGGGGGTGCTGTCACTCCTTGGGGCTCTCATGGGCATTTAATGGCCCTGCCCAGCCTCCCCAGGACCCCATTTCAGCCTCGCCTGCCCTGCTCCTGGGCTGGGGTGGTGGGATGAGCCCTGCCCAGATGCCCCAGAGGGACCCCCTATAGCTCCTGGCCCCACTGCCAAGTGCTGCAGCCCAGGAGGTGGATGGAATCTGCACCATCACAGGGTGAGGGGTGACCATGGGGAGCACCAAGCAGCACTCTGCTCTGGACTTTAATCCAAGCTCATGTGACTGTACAGATGTACCTAGCCCGTTTCACATCATTTGGCTCCTAATGAAGTAAATCGTGGTGGTTTTCCTAGTGACAGTAATAGAAGGTGAACAGACTGCTCAAAGGTCTGCTCCTCTGTTGCAACTGATTTTAACCAGGCTGCTATACAACAATAGAAAGAAAAAACATGAAAACATGAATTGGCTAAAACCAAACAAAAATAGGCAGTGAAGAAAAAAAAAAAAAAAAAAAAAAAGAAAAAGAAAAGAAAAGAATCATGTCTATTATAGAATAAAAGGAGGAACTCCAGAAAAGAAGAATAACTGCAGAGCCATGGAGGTGCTGTTGCTTGGATGCATTGGATGCAATGCAATTCCTTCATTAAGGAGCTACCTCTACTTTACCAGCAGGAAAGGACCAAAGCGTGACAACTCTACATGAGAAACAAGGCAGGGAGATCAAAAGAAAGGAAAAAGAAACAAAATCTGAGCGGGGGGATACTACACTAGGTTATGCGAGTCAATTTTCATCCAGAGAAGCTGGCATTACCTACCTTTCAAAAGCACAGGGATTTCTCCCTTCTACCTAGCTGAGAAGGGGCAAATACAGAGACAAAACCCAAACAAGTTACTTCATCAGCAGTAAGAGAATGGATAAAATTACCTCAACTATCCTTTCTTGCAGTCAGTAATAACAGTGATTCTTTCCATCTGTTCAGTAATTCCCATTATCAGGATTTAAAACTATTTTGGGGATCTAAATTCCCAGTGAAATTCTAGTCACTCCTCCTCAAGTTTTTTAAGGGAGAACTAACACAAAGTCTGGTCACATTAACCTTAATTCTGTAGGAAATAGGCTATAAACAAGGATGGAAGTAAGGTTTAGAGAAAAGATGCACACAGGGGCACTGAAAGAGCTTGGAGTCTACTGGGTATGCAGGCCTCGGCATGCAAGATCAAATACTCATGAAAAGGATGCAGTGATGTTGCCCCAGAGCCCTTCTGGTTATCTAACTATCAACTTGATATAAAGAAATAGGATATAAGTCTGAGAAAACAACATAATTTCTGCATAATTTCTATGCTTTTTTCAGTCCTTGACTTCTTGAAACTACTAAGTAAGTTGCTGGGAATGGTGTTTTTGTCAGGAAGACACTTCAGTCAGTTTAGTAATTTCTTCTCTCATTGACACAGAATCATAAAAATTTCCTGCTTTTTCCTTCCCCTTCTCCCTCTCATCTCCCCCGTTGGCCTTTTTTGCCTTTCTTTCTTCTTTATTATTGATTCAGGTTGAACATGAACTGGCAGTCATATGTGACAACCATACTCTCAGTCTCTCAAGATAATTCTGTACACAATTTTAAACTTAGTTCTGCTAACATGCCTTCCCCCCCCCCCCCTTTAAGCTATGAAACTGATGAGAGATTTTCACTAGAGAATACAGAATGGCATTCTGATAGTACCTTAAAAATAGGAAAAAATATTCTAGGCTTCTTTTATACATTTACATAAAATGTAAATGCACATTTGATACTGTCTTTGTTCCTAGAGTCTTTCAAATTGCTGAGCTTTATAACTTTTCTTCATAGGAGGATGTTTGATTAGTCAATAAAATGTTAGAAAAGCTTAAATTTTTAGAAGACACAAAAGCCATTCATCTCCTCCTCTTATTTCACTGCAGGTGAATTAATTTTTTCATGCAAGGCATCCTAAATCTG